AGGACATGAAACTGCCATTGTACATTAAACCCATGCACCTGGTTCTCCTCTTCTCTCCTGTTACATCAGAAAAACTATTTGGTGTGATGTCATCCAAGCCAGGTTTATCTCCCTTTTCTCCATGTTACTTGCTATGCCTCCCAGGTGTGAAATCTTGGCAAAGTGATATGCTTGACATAGTAAGTAATTGAAGATTTTAGAGAAAAAAGTGTGATAACTCAACCAGGCAATGTTGTTCTTGTTGAGATTTTGATATGAAAATGTATTAAATATTAATGTTGTATAGTTAAATGTAAAATGGCTGATTTTACCTGAGTCACTGTACTGATTATATTCAGGTGTGGGTATCAAGGATTAAGACTTAATGTTGTACAGCTGTGTACATGATGAAACGTGGTGTAACAGAAAATGAAGTAATGTATTTTCTGATTGGTCACAGAACTGTACATAAGTCATGTGTAAAATGAACGTCTTTATCTGATGTAATTCAGATCACTTTTTCCTATGCTGTGTGTTGCTTCATGTCATGTTATGCTGCCAGAGAAATGTCTATTCTCTATGTATATAAATAGACTAAGTTGTTGGTTTTACTCTCTCAGTGTCATAAGTATCTCTACTAACCAATATTTCCTTACTCTGCTGATGTTATGAGAATACACATTATAATCAAAAGTTTCAACACTTCTAGCTGTCACTGGCCAAGACCCTACTGAATTTCTGTTCAGTAGTGCTGAATTGATTTAACAGCTTATCAGCTTCGTGCAAATTCTTGTTGCTTTCTTATAAAATTGACAAACTCTCAGCAAGGCTTTCAGACAAGAAGGCGAGGAGGGGCTCCACCAAATTTCCAATATAAATATGGATGTTTGGAGTAATTGATTCCTGACCTATGGGCAAAAGGAGCCACAGCTACAACCCACATCAGTCTAAGCCGTGTACCTCATTTAGATGAGCCTAAATGACCAGAGGGAAGAAAGCAAACTAATGAGCAAGGAAGACAGTCTTAGCAGTGCAGTGCTTATCGGATAACAGTAGTAAATTTGGCAAGCATAATTTTTCCAAATAGAAAAAATCATTTGGAGAAGGAGAGAAAAAAGATGCTCACTTAAGTGACATTATCCTGCTGCAGTGTAGGATAATGGGGACTGGGGACATCACCATGAATGAATGAAACATTTTATTTGCATTAGCTCTATGCCATAGCAAGATGAATATAGAATTTACAAAGATATAAAATCAGCATATTAAAATCAAGAAGATAAATGCATATACATCAGATATATATAACTATGCAAAAATTAAACAACTAAATCTATAAAAGGTTACTATTTTAAAACCATAATTGACTTAATTTTGATCAGTTTTGTAGTAAATTCCTCTGAAATGACCCTCAAGTAACACTGAAGGCATGACATTAAGTTGTGTGTTTGAAAAGGACCTTCTGTATTTTGGAACTGTTAACACATGGAGATTAATGATTTTGTCATTATTTTTGGACAACTTGTCATGGAGTCATCATACAAAGGACATGATTTATTGGTGGCAGACATCAACATCATTATAAGACACACCTGCAACTCCTCCTCTGGACCTAGCTGGGCAATTACAAATGCTGGAAAATGAAAAAAAAAGTGATGCCAGCTGGATTGGTATAAAATAAACAACCACATGGTTGAATAGACACAAATGTCACTGAAAAAGCGTGGGCTTTTGCACAATTAGCTTTACATCATGTAGTCCCTGCAAAATTAATCTGTTTCAACTGTGCCAACTCCAATATAAACTGCAGGTTATTTTGCAATGTAGTTGCATCCTTAGAGAAGCTTACAGTCCCTTTATTACATATGTCCACAGTTAGATATTCAATTGTCATGGCTAGTTTATAACTAAATCCTGAGTGAATCCTTATTATAATCTGTGACAATGAATTATATTAACTTGAACCTGAACATGCACAGGGCAAGTAGAAACAATACAATTTAACTAATGGAAAAGGACCTAATCTGTTCTTGGGTTCAGATGCAAAAGTCTCCTTTTAATTTCAAGGAAAATGTAAGTATCATTATTTGGGGAGATTGCCAGTTCTATTCCTACAATAGCAACTTGTCAAAACTGATTGGATGTACTTTCTTTAAATATATAACTGATGCTAGTAAAATGACTTCAGAATTTTCAAATACCTGTTATTGCTTTAGCATTCAATAAACCCAATTATCATAATCTTGAAAGAACAATCTAGCAAATATGGTTTTCTCAGCCAAACATTTTCAACTGTGTTCTGGAAAAAAAATCTGAGAGTTCTGTTCCACGTTTCTTGAGAAAGAATGTTGAATAGTATCACCAAAAAAGCCCACTTACTAATAAAGAACCTGTCAAACTTGAGCAGACGGCAAGAATACTTCTAATTAGCCTGAAGTATTGTATGCTTTGTTAGTATTCTGGGAAAACATACATTTCTAGAAGGCTTGCAGAAGATCAAACCTTCCCCCCCTTCAGCATTTTTCCACAGTGATTCAAAATCACCCATATTGGGTATTTTATACATAACTCTCTGGGTACCAAATCCAGCACTTAGTTATGCAAACACAATTGAGATTTCCTTAGAAGAAGATCAAGCAATTAATGAAAACATTATTTTATGGTTCTTATAGTTAAACTAAAAACCGCTAAGTCAATACAGTGGTTAGAAAATGTTGTGTAACTGTAAGCTATCTGAGTATATTCTTGTGAGAACGCTATAAATGAAATATGTGGAGCAAAAATGTAAAATTTAGATGCTCTTTCCATTGACTTGCACAGGTGAAAAATAAAGGCCACATCCTGAAGACATCCAGGAGAGGAAGCCCCATCGGTCATCCCAGTAAGTGCTCTAGGGGCAACAAGTGGATAGGATTTCCAAGCCACCAACCACCTGGGAGGATGCAGCCTCACTCAGGCTCAAAGTGGCATCTATCACACAGTTATTCAAAACAGAGCTGTCTCAATCTCTAGAAAACCAAATTAGGCTCTACACTGAGTCTGCAGTTAATTAGGTCTTGCAAAAGTAAAATAAAAGGACCTCTATGCAAAGCACTGAAGAACACCAGTTTTTCCCCTGTGCTTACTATATGCTACCTGCAGCATCAGAAGCAGCATGCATCGGAATAATAGCTGCAGCACTACTTTCATTCATGTATTTGTGGGCTTCCCATAGTGATCTAGTTGGTCACTGTGGAAAACAGGATAGATAGGTTTTAGTTTGATCCAGCCATTACGTTCTTATAACCTAAGTCCAAGAAAATGAGGATGGAAGCGTCAGGATTTTCAGCCTTTTCCTGTTCAGCCCTTTCTCTGATGTTGAATATTGGGCTCCAGAAGTTCCTCATCCCTTTAAAGCAGGTTTTTTACATTTATTTTAGGGTACAGGAAGGTGGGTGGGAGTTAGGAATTGCCTCTGTCATGCTTCTGTCATTGCAATGACTGTGCTCGGCAGTGATTGTATTAATGGGAAACCATTGCCATCTGACAATGCTCAGCTTCAAAATCTGCTATTCTGATTTTGCAGAGATAGTAAATCATTTCTGAGCTTTAATCTGAACTTTACAGGGACTAACCAAGGTGCTGAACCTTATCCCCAAATTAGTTTCAGACCCTGAATAGCACCTTTAAAATGTGGACTGAAACCCAGAGTGGATTCACAGCCCACGAACACACCCAACTCCGTAAAACTGACGCTACTAGCTTAGATGGCAAGGACTAAAGGTTATATCGTAAACACTTCAGGAGACCAATCTAATCAGCTGGAAAAATTCTACACCAGATTCAGCCACTGCTGCACTGGTATAGAGTTTTTTCATGACTGAATAAGTTATTTCAGGGGTCAGGGAACTTTTTTACCTTTCCCCCCCCCAATTTTTTTTTATTTACGTTGATATTAACCCCCCCGGCTCTTGCCGTCCATGGCCGACCCCTGCCCCTCCTGCGCTCGCCCGGGACCTGTGGCCACTGTCCAGGCAGCCAGTCTGGAGCTGCCACACCGCTGGGAAAGCGCGTCCTTGGAGAGGGGAGGCGGGCGCCACAGGGCCGGCAGGTCCACTGGCCATGAGCTCAGGGGAGGCGGGGGGGGAAGGGGGTCTCCTTGCCAGTGCACTGGGCAAGTGGGCACAGGCAGGAAGGAGAGCCCCAGCCAGGGCTCCACCGGGCAAAGAGTCCAGCTGGCCTGGTCCACTGCCCTCCCCCCCCCCACTTTGGAGGTGAGGAGGACAGGCAGGGGCCCTGTGCAGTTCCTCACCAGGGCTCGCTCTCCCCGTGACGGAATGCCCACCTACACACAGCATTGTCGGAAATAAAATGCCTGGGGGTAAAATACCTGCAGTGACCATCCCCATTTTTACCCCATTTGGGGTAATTTACCCCTGTTCCCTGACCACTGAGTTATTTGGCATATTCCTTCTCCAAATGCTATTCTCTGTTCTCCAGAGAGCTACCAAGTAGAAGAAGTGGATCCAATGTGTAATCTAATAGCTGAATGATACCAAGAAGAAATTTGTTGTGCTGCTGTTCTTTGGACTGTTAGAAGTTGAAACGTAAGTTGTAAGAGAACACTATAGAACTATGATCTATGGCTATTACAATACACTTAATTAGTAATATAAGAAACGTATTTTGCTGACCCAAGGCTGAAATTGTGACATTACTAAGTCTGCCTTATGAACTGATGGATTCAAACTTTTCTTACTAGTTTATTCATGGTAGTAATATGCCAGGACAGTCCCTTGGAGTACAAGCAGATCACAGTGCCTCTGGCAATCACACAACAGCAATATCCAAAACAGCTATTTTGATAAGGTGCCACTGTAAAAATTCAGTGTTCTTCCTGAGCTTTAATTCTCAGAATATAGTCAAGCATGACAGTTCTACAGAATGGGCAGAGGATGTGCATAACATATGGACAATGCAAAGGAAGTATAACTCTTTGCCTTGTATCTGAGTTTGCTGAAAAACTGCAACATAACAAATACCTGAGAATGCTTTGAGACCCAGTGGCGAAGGACATTCAGAACACGATTCGTGGCTGCTCGGCGTATTATGAATTCCTTATCACATGTTCGTTCAGAATTATTAAATCCTACACAATTTAAAAGATAAATTGTAGTGAAAAAAATGCAATGAAATGAATGGGGAGAAAACTGCCAAAAGATAATTTGATATATAAAAGTATTATGCCTTTATAGGTAAACAATAAACAGTTGCCTACATTTTTACATGCTACCTCCTCTCTGCAGTCTTGAATATTACACACTTCAGATGTATGTTAAATACCATACTGTTCAAATACACCAAACTGATAATTTCGGTGTTCTCATTTGCCTGTCGATGTGATCATTTTCCATGTAGCAAACCAGAGAGAATTTGGGCTCAAATATTAGCTCTTGTCCCTGCAATCCTATGTACCATAGGCAACCACATTCAGTGCTGAATCCTGTTAAATTTGCCATATCTTCTGGTCTCTTACATTCTACTTTTAAAACTTTGCTTTTAAGTCTGCTTTTAGGGCTTAAAACCAGGCAGTGCAGCATCAAGCTGCTTTGTTAGACCCTGGTTAAAAGTTCTTCTGGCAAACTCAAAAGCTTTTGGGATAATCATAACAGAGCCATTGCTGACCAAAGTTTTTAGATTTCTTTCCTCGCGATAGAGCAGAGATAGGACAGGGTTCCCCCACCTGTTTTGGCCTTCAGAAACAAACCCTATTATCCATCTGGGCAGTATATAATAACAACACAGCAGCAGCAACAGTAGCAGCAGTAGCAATAGCAACAACAACAACAACAACACAGCAGTAGCAACAGTTGTTATTATTCATAAAGAAAGAAGGCACAGTCTTTTTCAAAGTCTTAGGATTAAGTTGGAAAAATTATCTAAGCTCTTCTATTTTGTGTAAAAAAGAAAACAAGCAAACTGTGGATAGCTCCAAGTTAATGTAATACTAGCTTTGGATAATTTACCCACCACTGGTATTAGGATTCATGTTCCTGTTTAAAGATAGAATGTATAAATATATAGAGAAGTCTTACACCAGATTAGCCCATTGGTCCATTTAATCCATTATTATTTGCTGTAACTCACATTGTCTCTCAAGACTGTCCAGCAGAGTTTATTCACATGACCGAACCTGATGCTCAGTGGTGTAGTGATACATTTGACAGTGGCCATAGCCAGTCCCTGCCTAGCAGATTCAACAAACAAGGATCAGCTCTTCTGCAAACCTAATGGCTCTTAATTGCACATTCAAGACTTAAACACCCTTCAGTGCTTTTGCAGTATAATAGATATAGTTTACGATGATAAACTGTTCCTGGGAATATCCATTTCTCTTCCACTACTTCTGTAACTAAATCCTGAAGAGGGAGGAGATGATGTCATAGCCTCTACTACTCATAAAGTCTTGGGTCTTCAACCCTGAGAACCCTGCTCCACTACACTACCACAGATGCTTTATACTTGAGATACTAATGTTGATCCTGGGATTTTTGCATGTGGTCTACCACTGAGTTATGATATTTACCCCGTATAGCAGATAATGCATTTATTAAAAGGGGAAGGTCTTTCACCTTTCCCCAATAATTATAATTTTAACATGAGGTTATTGCTTAATAAAAGCTACACAGTATGAATTTCCTCAGCTTGAAGGAGAGGATTCGACCAACCGTTTGACAGAATTGCTAAGCAACAGTTCTCTAGATTCAAAACAGCTCTTGGAGAGTAAAAATAGAAGTCTATTCAAATTCATTACAGTGTTTGTGAAGTAGAGAGGAAAAAGAATGTTGCAAGAAGAAAAGATTAATGTTCATTTTTATAAAATTCTAGATAGAAGGGAATAAACTGATTTTCTGGCTATTACTGGCATGTCAGATAGTGGCCAAAAGCCTGTTGTGCAGTTACATAAAAGGCATAACTTTTAGTGGCAAATTGCCATAAGTCAAGAAATCTCTGTAGGCATCATCTGTTGCATGCCAAGTCACGCAACTCTGTGTGCAACAGATAATGGCTATGAGGATGTCTTAACTTACCAACAATTCACTACTAGAAATTATGCCTTTTGTGTAACTGCACAACAGGATTTCGGCCAGTTAAGTGAAATATAATCCTGGAAGAAAATGTGGAAAATATGTAGATTTCAAATAGAAAGACATAAAGAAGTAAATATCAGGTCCAAGATCATAAGGAATAGGGAAGACAATCATAATTGTGGAAACACAGTCCTTAAACTTTTGTTTAAATTTGACAAAAACAAAAAGATTAAAAACAGTACAGAGATATGCTGTAACCTGGAGCAATTGCCTCTACCTCATTCAGCAGTGTAAAATGAAAATCTTATCAGATATAGTTTATGTAGCAGTGATAGCATAATTGATTGGTTGGTTTATTTTACAATGGATAGGCTGCCCTTTGGATGAAAACACTATGCAACAAAACCATTTTTAAAAAATATACAGACAACCACTACACAAAGTTATGCACCACAATGGCAAAAGTAACACAAAGCCAAACACTTTGACATCAAACATAATCTAATCATCTCTCAAAGAGATAGCTATGTTAGTCTGTTTCAGCATTTATATCTAACATAAAAACAAAGATATTGTGGCACTTTCTAGATTAGCAGATGCATTCCAATGTATATTTACATGGAATACAACCCACCTCCTCAGATAAAAGAAGCATAATATGTAGGCCACGTGATTGTATGATAGTAGAGTGAGAACCAAGTGAAATGGAATAAAAGGGTGTCCATTATATTTATAATGAAATCTGGAAGTGATAGTGGCATTATTAACATTCATAATGAACATTCAAAGTATTAATTACATAGATAACCTGTTAACAGGTGGAGAATTAGCATGTCTGTCAGCAAAATCATCTGAAAACACTATAGAATGAAAATAGTTCAAAGCTAATAGAACAAGGTGGTCTTTACTAGTGTTCTAAAAATTACTAGGAAAGGGGCTAGACAAAAGTCCTGCAGGAAACAGTACCAAAGTCTGGGCAGTGCAGTCAAGAAGATTTTGTTCTATATACTGACTCATCTGAAGATATCAATTGGCAAGAAGGATCATGTGGTGGCACACAGTATTTTTGATACCATCCCCACAGCTATTTTAGCAGCTTAAGAGTGATAACTAGCATTAGAAAGGGCTTCAAGGGCATCGTTTTTCACTGACTTAAACTTGTTTCATTGGAGGCATAAAATATTATTCTTAATTAGCAGATATATACCGTAAATGTATTTAAACCTTATTTACAAGGGGGTGCTGATAAGTATTGAGCCTTCCCCAGAAAAAAATTGAGCTAGGAAGCTATAAATTGCAGGGTGTATTGGCCAAATTGTCTCTATTCAATGGTGCAAGAATCAACTACCTCTGATTTTAACTTATGTTTCATGTTCAGGTCCAAAGTGAACATGACAGCACCTCCAGAAAAGTTCAATGTGGAAGAGCATAGGACCATAATCAAGTTCCTGTTTCGCCAAGGGAAAAGTGCAAAGCAGATCTATGATGAAATGTCACAAACTATGGGTGATAGTGGCCCTTCATATGCAACAGTAAAACGTTGGGTTGTCAATTTCATGTTGTAAGCCGCCCTGAATAGACATGGTCTAGAGGGGCGGGGTATAAATTCAATAAATAAATAAATAAATAAATTTTAAAACTGGCCATTTCAGTGTTAAAAGTGAGGAATCCATTGGAAGGCCTGTTTCTGTCTCTGTGCCTGCAAATGTGAAAGCCATCCATGACATGATCATGGAGGAATGCCGAATATCAGTCAAAAGTATTGCTATATATCTGAGAATATCATGTGAGAGAGTTGGTGCCATTATTCACAATGGCTTGGAAATGAGAAAACTGGCAGCAAAGTGGATCCCCAAACTTTTGGAACGTTTTGCAAGAAATGAGTCAGATTTCCTGGGCAAACTGGTAACTGGTGATGAGACATGGATCTATTGTTATGATCCTGAGATAAAAGAACAGTCTAAGGAATGGAGGCACAGTGGTTCCCCCAGGCCAAAGAAGTTCCGAGTGCAAAGGTTGGTGCAGAAGCAAATGGCAAGTTTTTTGGGATAAGAAGGGAGTCCTGCAGGTGGACTACCTCCAACAGGGTTCAACCATCAATGCAAAATCTTACTGTGCTTTATTGACGAAATTGAGGCAAAACATCAAGGAAAAATGTTGAGGAAAGCTCTCCAAAGGTGTCACCCTTTTGCATGACAATGCTTCATCACACAGTGCAGGTGAAACAATGACAAAACTGACCTCCTTAGGCTTTCAAGTGATGCCCCATCCACCCTATTCTCCTGACCTGGCTCCTTCTGACTATTATCTGTTCTGCAAACTCAAAAAACACCTAAAGGGACAATGATTTGGGAGTGTTCTGGAGCCAACTTATGCTGCAAATGAGTGGTTACACCAGCAGTCAGAAGAATTTTATTTGCAGGGACCTAATAAGCTGCAGGGCAGATGTCTCAAGTGCATTGACTTCCTGGGGGAATATGTAGAATAGTGTGGCAGTTAGAACTTCCTAGCTCATTTTTTCTGAGAAAAGCTCAATACTTAACAGCACCCCCTTGTATCACAGTGTAAAGCTCATTTGAATGCTAACTGTACAAAGAATACTTAGGTTGAATAAAGCTGTACTGCTGTCCCCATTCCTAATGTTACACAGCTTCCTCCTCCCTGACTTTCATGCATTCAGTATGGATGTCAACACAGAGAAAGGCTATAAGGCTATAAATCTATGTATACCGGCTCTCATTTACTTCCACTGTGTATTCATAAGGGCTATAAATCTATGTATACAGGCTCTCATTTAAGTATACTCATGTACAATGCTGACATTGGCTGAGCCCTGGACTTGTCGGGGAGAGAGACAAAGAAGTGACACTATTAATACATGAAAGATTGTTGTACTACTTACATTTCAACACCAGTTCATCTCTTTGCTTATCACCTAGACAAGGTCCTTAAAACTAGTTTATTAATTGCTTAGGTTGTAGGTTGAAGCTATTTTTTGAAAGTGCCATAGTAATCTTTAGGTTAAAGGCCTATTTGGTTGAATATGCATACATTTACTGATGCTCAGAAATCTTTTTTCTCTAGCATCAGAAAGCTCACCTGGTGGGCTCCCATGGCCAGCTGCAGCCGTAGCAATAGCAAAAGCAGAAGCAGGAGACACAGAACAATGACAGTTGTCAGTCACCTGTACTGCAAAGAAAGAAAAAATAAATAAATAAACCGAAAACATTAACAGGTGACATTATTTTGTAAATACAAATTACTGGTTGAACATTAACACTGCTCAGTTTCATGCTTATATACAAGCATACCTTCCTGCTGAGAAAATAAAGGAAGACACAGCCACAGTCTATTTTATTAAAAGTATTCTGATCATACTAATAAGAAATACCTATTTTAGCCCTGGAGTGTTATGTTAAATTGTTCAGTTTTGTTGATTCTTTCCAAAACTGGAGCAAAATTCTGGGCAGGCTTTTCAGGGTCCCTTTCCTTGAAGAGAAAAATGCCACTATTCTTGCAAAATAAGTGTACATGTATATGCAAATTTGAAAGCTAGAGTGAGGCCAGGCAAATAACAGGGAAAATTTCTCAGTATGGAAATATTGTTGTTAGTACTCAGCCTGTTCATAGGCACTGAACTGTCTCTGATCAGTCTTCTCCTTGTAATATCCATATCAACTGATTTCAGACTACAGTGGTGCCTCGCTTAGCGAGTGCTTCGCTATGCGATGAATTCGCATAGCGAGGGGGTCCGGGCCATCGCTGGAGCGTTCGCTCAGCGATGGCCCCATGGCGATTTTTCGAATTTCTCAGTATGGAAATATTGTTGTTAGCACTCAGCCTGTTCATAGGCACTGAACTGACTCTGATCAGTCTTCTCCTTGTAATATCTATATCAACTGATTTCAGACTACTTATTTAATTTCAAAAAATCCTTAAGCCATAGGAACGCACTGAACGAAGTTCAATGCGTTTCTATGGCTTTTTTAGTCCCGTTTAGCGATGTTTTCGCATAGCGAAGGTTAATCCGGAACGGATTAACCTCGCTATGCGAGGCACCACTGTACTTATTTAATTTCAAAAAATCCTATGTGACCAATAAATACCTTCAACTTGGTTCTTGCAAAACTGCTAGTAATAATATTAAAGTCAATATTTCCCTCAAAAATACTCAGGTCCACAGGTCCAAAGTTGGTCTGCCTTAGTTTTTATTATTTAATATAGCAATAGATATCTGAGAATAGAGAGGACTGGAAAATGCAATGATGGTTAAGGTCAAACAGATGTCAACAGATATCACATTCCCCATTTCCCTTCCAGTGACAAGAAGGAAAATGGAGAATGTGAAGAGGTGCATGCCTCAGAGATGAGACTTGCAAACTAAGCTTATGCTTACCTTTCAGTGATTTTACAGAACAAACTATGATCTAACTGTAAGATACAGAGGTAAAGAGAAACATGTGATATGAGAAAAAACAATTTGTTCACATTCTGTAATGAGTAATTTTTATATTATACCATCTGTACATTTTCTGTGCCACAAGTGTAGGGCAAAGAGAATTTATTCCTAACTAACAGAACTGATACCATACATATCACACTACACAGTATGCCCTCAATTTGGTTCTTGAAAATCTGTTAGTAATAATATTCAAGTCAATATTTTCTTTAAAAAATGAATCTCGTTCAATATATTACAGAACATTTCATCTCAATGCACATATGCGCTTTTCATTCTGTTGTAGCTTAACAGGAATGGTATTATTCATATTTCCCTTTTTATATACTCTGTGAGATGAAACAGAAATATAAATTACTTCCAAACAAAGAATTATTTTTTAAAAAATTAAAAATCGGACTAGTTTCTACCTGAAAACAAAAACCTCAGTCCAGGACTGAGTTAAACAAATGCATGCAAGTATGTATTGTGTAAGTCAATATTTTTTCATCTTACCCCCTGCTTGCCGATAACGTAGATGTCGAGGAGTTGAAGGTGATCTACATGGGGAGAGCTCAGGAGTATCCACAGTTGAGGCACTTTCTGGAATGGTGCGGTCCACTGATACAGATTCTAGAACCGCTGCTTTAAAAAGTATGCACTTTAATATTGAGAAATGATGGGGTCTTATAATTCACAACTCAATTCAACTGCACATATTTTAAAGACTGAGCACTTTTTCTGGCAAGATGGTCTGCTTTACTGGGAGTTTGCAGAGAAGAGGCAGGGTGACTGGAGCCCACAAGAATTGTCCCCAAAATTTATAGGGAGCAAGTTCTGAAATTGGCCCATGATCGTACATTTGCTGAACATTTGCAGGTTAAGAGGACTTTGACCAGAGTTATTGGCCTAATATTGCCAAGGTAGTGAAGTTATATTATGCCTCTTGTGAAATCTATCAGAAAGTGGGATGCCCCATGGATTTTTGTTTGTTTGTTTGTTTGTTTGTTTGTTTGTTTGGTTGGTTGGTTGGTTTTGAGCCAGCACCTACTGTTTCCCAGCCTTTCTGATATTTGGCTTTGGATATTTGGGGCCAGATAGATCTCCCAACTAAGTCTGGAAAGAGATTTATTCTAACCATCATTAACTATGCTACCAGGTGTGCTAAGGTCATTCCCCCATCTTCTATGAAAGCTTAGAATGTGACCAAAGCCATTGTGGATTTTACTAACTATGTGAGGTTGCCGAGGGTTTTAGTTTCAGAATAGGGAGACAACTTTGTCTAATCTTATGACCAATTGTTTGAGATCACTGAGGTGGAACAGAGACCAACTGTAGTTTATCATCAGTCAGCAAACAGCAGTGGAGCAGGCCTAACATACTTTGTAGAAAAGGCATATGTGTTGGAACATATTTATTGTATATCATGATGTTCCTCAGGAAAGGCTCTTGGGATACAGCCCTAAGAATTGCTTTGAGTGCAATCTAAGAACATCCATTGACTTTTCTTAAGGAGAACTGGGAGGGCAAAATTGCCAAGAGTCGTAATCCTGTTGCCAGGTTTGTGAGTCAACTGCAACAAAGGTTGCAAGATGTGTGAGAAGTGGCCCATTAAAGTTTGGAAGTCATTTGAGACAATCAAAAAGTGTATCATGGTGCCAAAGCCTGATATCGAGATTTCAGTGTGGGAGATCAAATGCTGGTGTTGAGTCCTATTAAATGTAGCACACTGTAAATCATGTGGGAAGTTTCTTTTGTAGTAAAGCAACAACTTAGTGCTGTGAACTACCTGACTGAACATACTGGTACAGGATATAAACCCAAAATATATCATGCTAATGTTCAAAACCTCATGTGGCCAGAAATTGTGTGTTCCTGATTTGTGCTGCAAGGAAGGAAACAAAAAGCAAAAGCAAAAAGCAAAGTGTGCTGCTTATATACTGCCCCATAGTGTGAGAGAAGGACGTGTTAACAGAATTTCAGGAAGAGTTGTATTTGTCTCCTTGTATGACCGATTATGAACAAGGGAAGCTGTATGAGCAGTTTTAATAAATATATTAGATTTAGTGTTAAATATATTTAGGCTTTAGTGTTAAGTATTGTTTGAATGTATTCAAATGTATTGTATTTTGCTTTCCTTTTGAACTACCTTAGCAGGAAGGTTTTCTTTTTCTTTTTGAATTACTTTTATTTTGGCTGTTATGTCAGCTTGCTGACACTCCCAACAACTCAAAAAATGACAGATCCTGGTTCCTGTTGCTCTTCTAAAAAATCAGACTTTGTAGTTTGTATCTAGGATGATCTTCCTGGGAGAAAGCAGAGAAAGTGCCCACCGGTGATTGGAAGGCCACAATACTTGCACCTTATCTCTGCAAGAAGATAAGCTGGACTGAGCTCATTCCTTGGTACAGAGTTAATTAGCAGAAGGGTTTTAGCTTAGTGAAGGGGGGGGAGAACTTACTCTCCTCTTTGTGATAGTTCAAAGAAACTCAACACCTGATTGATGGAAAAACGAGGTGAGGTTACATACTGTAGTATAGCTGAACTGCAACTCCCAGAAACCCCAGTCAGGACAGCTGGTGGTGAAGGCTTCTGGCAGTTGCAGTCCAAAACTCCTGAGTAACCCAAGGTTAAGAACCAGTGGTATAGCCTACTTATCTCTTAGGAAAATACTATGCTCATTTGCTACTCTTTACATGATTTGCACTCTATATGTGTTCTGGAACTATGTTGAAAGTATGCCAGGATGTAAGTATTAGCTTAGCTTTCTTATTTTATTGTGTGATTTTTCAGGAATTTTGCCTCTAACTTTGTGACCATTTGCTACTCTTTACATGATTTGCACTCTATATGTGTTCTGGAACTATGTTGAAAGTATGCCAGGATGTAAGTATTAGCTTAGCTTTCTTATTTTCTTGTGTGATTTTTCAGGAATTGTTTTTGCCTCTAACTTTGTGATTGCTTATTTTGTTTCATGTTACTTTAAATATTCTGTAACTGTTGAAACAGCTCTTGAAGTTTTGTTCTTTTTCCTTTTTCACCAACCCAATACAATATACATTTTTACAACTGTTTGGTCATTTTGAAGTAAGAGGGTTGACAGTACTAAAACCAGGCTTGCCTTGACCATCTACTGGGAGCCTGTGTGTTTTGTGGGTATTTTGTGGTATTCTCACCCTGCAGGTTTGGCATAAGAGTCAAAGTGCTTAACTTTAAACTATTAAAAACATTCTTTTATATATCAGCTACAGCAGGCTAATATTTAAAATCATATTTATTTATTAGTATCTGTTAGGGCTGATCCTGTGTATAGAACTGTCCTTATTTAAGTCCTATCCTTGTAAGATGAATTGAGTCAACTGTATCCCAGTGCTGCATGCAAGACTGCTTGCAACCTGCTCCGAGTATAAAAACAAAAAAATCTGCAAAAACATCATTTTCTGTTCTTGCAAGCCTCCATGATTGACAGTTTTGTAACAAAAGATGTTACAGCAACCATAATTCATAAAACCTCAAACTCACAAAAATGAATTCAGAAACAGTTTCCCAGAAACATTCTGGTTTAATATTTCGTTTTCTAAAAAATATAGAGGTCTGGTCAGCCCCAGACAGTTTTCCAATATTTCACAAGTTGATGTAGCAGCATGTAACAAATTAGAGAGTTCAGGCAGTTCAATGAACAGTGTTTATTATGCTGTTCATTGATAATGACAGACCATGAACCTGAAAGCTTCACTTGTCAAATTAGACAGATTCCTTTGTCATATCATTCCATAATGCCCAGAGTTTTCTCCATTTGATAATTAAAAATTGCAAAGAGTCTGGTACTTCTATCTCACAGGAAGCTCTCTAACAAAAAAACAAAGCTGCGTATATTAGCCAGCACTATGTCATCTAAAGCCATTAGGGCTTTCGCACTAGCTAGGCTCAATGTCTTTCCTTCTAAGCTTCTGGAGGGAAGATTTCGAGGTTTGCCGGCATCAGATTGTCTCTGTCCTTGTAACAATGATAAGGTTGAATCAGTTGGTCATGTTCTCCTTTTCTGTTCTTGCTATCGGGATCTCCGTATGGAGCTTATATCACCCATTATTTGTAAATCTCCTGGGAGATCAGAGGAGGATTATGTGCAGTGGCTACTCTCAGACAACACCGCTTATATCACAAGACAGGTGGCCAAATTCTGTGCTGCACCCATGGTTGTTCGTAAACAGATGTTTGGGTAGGTGATTTTAGATGGATATGTTTTTAATATAACACTGTCTGAAGTTTCACCAATATTAACGATATATGATGTTATTAATTGGAAAGAAGGGGTTGTTTTATCATGTTTTAATGGAATTTTATTATCCTGCCCGAAACAATAATTGTATGCATCTATTTTATATTGATTTGGTTTTACTGGTCTTTGACCGTAATAAAGTATACTAGAGTTGGCTCATTAAAAAGCTGCGTATATTTTGTATGAAATCTGTAACTCCTATATACAGTATAAGAAACTAAAATTAAAGGGGGAAATCATCTACATTAATTATATTTGCATTCATGAAGAGAGAGGCTGAGCGAATGGATGCAGGGGGTAAGATGGCGCCGGTGCCGCGCGGTTAGCGTTTTTCTCCGCCGCCCGGTTCGCCTCTTGCCGCCTTCCCTCTTTTTTCTTTCTTTCTTTCTTCCCCCCTTTTTTCTCCTCGTCTTCCCTCCTCTCTCCTCCTTTTCTCTTCCATTTCCCCGTACCTGGACTGCTGGAGGAGAGCTGAAGCGCGGCGCAAGGCTAGGCAGTGCCGAGCAGGACCCGGTTAGCGAAGCCGCTGCGTGCTCGAAACGCGGAACCGCGGAGTCGCGGCTGGCTCTGCTTGGGAGTCCGGGAGCTCGGAAGCTGGAAGCCCTGCTTTGCTTCTTTGGAGGAGGCTGGTGTGTGCCCGGGACATCGGAGGGGGCGAAGATCCATCCGTTGACTCAGCGGGTCTCGGCTTGTCTCTGGAAGAGACCATTGGGGACCGCTGGAGAAGGGACGCAGAGGTTGGACGCTTGCACCCCCTCCCCCCTAGGACCCAGCCGTGTGGAGGAGCCCGCTGGAGGAGAGGCTTGGAGGCTGGAGATTAGCTTCCCTCCCCCCGAAGCT